GCTGTGTAGCCACAGCCCCCTCAGCTGCTCCGCGAGGGAACTGGAAGGCCGGGGAGACGCTCACCCTGGGGTGCTCTCTTGCAGGCAGAGCACCCAGGAGGACCTGCAGCCCGTGCTGGCCAAGCTGCTCGTGGATTACAGCATCCAGTCGTCGCTGAAGATGTGAGTACAGAGTCACGCTGTGACCGTGTCCCGCTGTGTCCCCCCCGCTCCTCTCCCTGGGTGAGGGGCAGGTGCCGCCCAGTGCTTTGGTGGTGCCCAGAGCGAGCACAACCTGGGGCATCCGCTAATGGGGCACGTGGCTGCCCCRGCCGCCGGCCCCAGGGACGCACCCTCCTTTCTTGGCCCCTGTCACCATGTGCGTCCCCCTCGTCCTGTCCCCAGAGTCACCTCTCACATCCAGTCGTACTTCAGCGGGACGGTGGTGGGCGAGTCGGCCATGCAGAACGAGCAGGACGTGGGCAGTGCCCTCGACTTCCAGTTCCAGGTGAGGCTGGCGTGCGGCCGTGGGCTCGGGGCAGGGACAGCTCCTTCCCCGGTGCCACCTGCCTTGGCTTTGCAGGTGACCACCCGGGGGGAGGCGCTGGGTGCCCTGGGCACCATCCTGCTCGGCTTCGAGTGGCCCTACGAGATCCCCAATGGCAAATGGCTCCTGTACCCCACGGAGATCCTCATCAACAGCAACGAGACCTGCCAGCCCCCCGGGGGGGTCATTAACCCGCTCAACCTCACCGTGAGTGTCCTCACCGCGGGCGCTGCAGGGCGGGCACGGCCTGCGGAGCAGCTGCCTGTGCCCCCGCTTGAGGATTGCCAGCCCTATGCCCTTCTCTTTGGTCCTCTTTTGGTCCTCTCTGTTTGCGCGGGCTCTAACAGGGCTCCTCCTCTCCAGCTCCTGGGGGACAAGCTCCCAACGCGGCAGAGACGCGAGCTGGGGGCGGCGCAGCCGGCCGAGCCCCCCCTCACTCTGGCCACCGCCAAGAAAGCCAAGTCGGAGGTGGCGCTGGTGAGTGGTGCCCGGCCGAGCTCCCCGCAGCCTCCAGCTGTGGAACATGGCGGGGTCTCCTCCCTGCGTGTCCTCCATGGGGACGGGGATGGAGGCCGGTCCCCCGCACGCGCTTGCAGGCTGCAGCCGCCGGGCGGCAGTTCTCTCCTGCGCATGGTGACATGCGCACGGTGCCCGCCGAGACCCGTGTGCCCTTAGCCGCAGCTACAGGCGAGCGTGCGCAGTCACGGCAACCCGCCTGCGCACAGGCGGCCGCGCCTGTTGTGCACACCGTGCACGGTGACGCGTGTGCACTCGGCGCAGGCAGTTACGTGTGTCTGCAGCACAGCGTGTGCGTGCAGTGAGCCTGAACTGCATGTGTGAACACGTGTGCAGTGCAGCCCGCTGCAGTCACACGCGTGCAAGCACCTCTGAAGGCCACACGCAGCTACACACACACATATAGCTACGTATGTGGCGTGTGTGCAGTTGTAGCCACATCCCCAGTCACCCCCCGCTGCACAACAGCATGCAACAGGCAGAGCTGCACGTGTGTGCAGTGACGTGCTTCCTTGCAGCCCTCCGGTGGAGCTGCACACGTGTGCAATGATGTGCTTGCTTGCAGCACTGCAGCAGAGCTGCACACGTGTGTGCAGTGACACGCTCCCTTGCAGCCCTCCGGTGGAGCTGCACACGTGTGTTGCACGCTCCGTGCTGCATGTTGCAAGCATGTTGCTCGCTTGCACACGCCAGTTCCCTGCTCGTGCGTGGCCGGCTGCATCAGGGAGCCGCCCCACGGGCCCCCTGAGCGCCCCCTCCTCTTGCAGAGCTGCTCCAAGGGCACTGCCCGATGCATCTGGTTCGAGTGCCCCATCCGCAGCACCCAGCACCCCACCTACTTCAGCATCCGCGCCCGCGTGTGGAACAGCACCTTCATCGAGGTCAGTGCTGGGCGGCTTGGGTGCTGCCCGGGCTCCGCTGCTCCCCCTGCCCCGGGAGCCAGGGATGCTGCTGCAACAGGGCGCTGAGTTTGCCAGCTCTCAGCTCAGCCACTAACCCCCATCCCTGAGCCGGGCGGCAGGGGCTGGAAGGGCTGAGGTTGGTGTTGGCTGCYCGGAGATGGGGTCTCCTCTGCCCTGGGGCTCATGGGGTCCCCGGGCAAGTGCCGGCGGTCGTGGCGGTGCCCAGACCTCCCCCACCACCCATGTGCCAACAGGAGTACAGCGATTTYGACCGGGTGAAGGTGGACGGCACGGCGACGCTCTTCCTGCGCACCCACGTGCCCACCATCAACATGAGGAACCACACGGTGCGGGTGAGTCGCGCCGGAGCCTCGCAGCGGGGGCACGGGCTGGCACCGGGGCCGTGGGAGCTGCCCCCSTGCCCCTTTGCCCCCTGCGAAGCTTTCCTGGTCTCTGCCAGTTCTCCGTGGACGTCGACTCGGAGCTGACGGAGGAGCAGCCGGCCGAGATCGCGCTGTGGTTGGTGCTGGTGGCGGTGGCGGCCGGGCTGCTGCTGCTGGGGCTCATCATCCTCCTGCTCTGGAAGGTGAGCGCGGCGGCCGTCCCGCGAGCGAGCGGGGCACGGGCCGCTCTGAGGCCTGGCGCACTCGTGTCGCTCACRGCTGGCGATTGCCCGGCTGGATGTGGGCTGCTCCAGGTGGTGAAATGCAGGCAGAAGCGTGAGAAACTGGATGGGGCCGTCGCTGATCCCCTGGAGACCCCTCTCTGGCCAGGAGGGGTTATATGGGAGCAGCCGGGTGCTGTCCCCATGCGGTGTCCCCAAGGACGAGCCATCGGCAGGGTGCAGCCCTTGGCCTGCCGCTGTCCCCCTSCCCTCTCCATCGTCTCCCAGCCTTTCCCTGGACTCAGCCGTGTCCGCACCGGAGCGTTGCCACCCCCGGGGCCCCTCGTCCGTGTCCCCTGACCCGTGTCACCTTCCTCGCAGTGCGGTTTCTTCCGGCGGGCCAACACGCGGGCCATGTACGAAGCCAAGGGCCAGAAGGCGGAGATGAAGATCCAGCCGTCTGAAACGGAGCGGCTGACGGACGACTACTAGGTGGGGGCAGCGCCGTTGCCCCCGAGCGCCCGCTGCACCCGCTTGGTAATGCCCTGCCCCGCGGCCGCCCGCCGGCCCCGGCAGGACCCTCCTCTCCAGCCTCCTCTGCTCTCCCTTCTGCTGCTCCGTCTCTCCCTGTAGGGCCCTATAGGGCGCCCATAGGGTGCAGGGTCTCCGCGAGCATCTCCCTCCAGCCGCTCCAGGGCATTTTTTCCCTTCCTGTCTTGGAGGCGCAGGCTTTGCTGGCCTCTGCCCCTGGAATGGCTGGGATGGAGGCCAGAGATGGCCTCCTTGGGACATTGGCCTCCCTGGCGGGCTGCAGAGGATGAACCCAAGTGCGTGGCAGGCGAGGGGTCCTGTCCCCCTCGTCCGCCTCTGGAGTCTCCGTTCCCATTTTCGGCCGCCTCCGGAGTCTCCATTCCCATTTTCGGCCGCCTCTGGAGTCTCCGTTTCATTTTCCGCCTGTCTCTGGCCTCTGGTTGCTGCTCCCGCCGCCTCTTCCCCGCGCTCACCCGCTCCTTCCTTCTCCCTTCCCCGCAGTGCGATTTCTTCCAGCGGACGCGCTACTACCGGATCATGCCCAAGTACCACGCGGTGAGGATCCGGCAGGAGCAGCGCTCCGAGCCCGGCGGCCTCCTGCCCCGCCGGCGCAAGAAACACTGGGTGACGAACTGGCAGGAGCCAGAGAAGTACTACTGACCCCGGGCACGCGGGCCGGGCCGCGCCGCCGCCCGCCGCACTTTGCACAAGGGCCCTGCGCCCTGCCCGCGTCCCGCTCCGCGCTGCCCGGCGCCCGCTTCCCGCTGCGCGTCCCGCGCTCGCCTCCGCGCACGGGGGTGCTGCTGGGCACGGGGCTGAGCCCCGCGCGCCCCTCGCCCTCCGCGCTGCCCCCTTCGCCGCCCTGGCAAGGGGGATCCCGCTCCCTGGTGCACTTTGGGTGCCCCCCGCACTGAGGGTGCCYGGGCGCTTCCAGCCTCTTCTCCCGGTTTGGGCTCCTTGGCTTCCTGCCCCGCGCGCTTGACGCGTCCTCACGCTCCRGGACACGTTCACGTCCCCCCCGGGGCCTCTGGGGACCACGGGAATGACCCCCTGCCTATCCTCACTGCCTGGGGGGGGACACGGAGCCTTCCTCCCCTGCCGCCTCCTCCTCTCCGCAGCGGCCTCATCCTGCACCTTCATCTCCCCGCTCCCCATCCGGCTTCAGGGCCGGCACGGGGGGGTGCGGAGCCTCCGCCCCGCTCCGCTGTCCTGCCCGGGGGTCTGTCCTGCCCTGCCGCCCCCGGGCCGGGTTAAGTTATTCCGTGTCTCCCGCGTGTGTTCCCGGCAGGGAGCTCCGGAGCGCGGGCGCTTGGTACTAGGGCCCGGGCGCCCTGCCCCGGTGCCCAATAAAGCCCCGCTCTGGGATTTGTAACCTCCGGCCTCCTCCGTGTGCCCGGCGCCGCGACGGCRGGGAGCGGGAGGCAGTGGGGGGCATTGCCCCATGCGCACAAGGATAACGGGATAACGGGAGCAGGAGTGGAGAGCGGGAATGTGGGGAGGGGGGAATGGAGGGAAGAGACCCTGGGGAAATGATCTTGGAGGGGCAGGAGTAGCAGCTGGGTAAATACCCAGGG